ATGAAGTGAATTGAAAGTGGAAGGAGGCAAAATATAATTAATATAGTAAGTGTTTATTTTACTTGTGCTTGTGTGAATGTGTTTTGTAAATACATTTCTATTCCTATCTGACGTTAGTTTTGTTGTTGCCATTCTTTAGACTAAAAATTTGGCTTTTTGCGCTCCTTTACTTTTTCTTGTTATTCTCTTTTAGTGAGCGCATTTTGCTAACGCTCTTGTTTTTGACACTTTTCAGATTTTAATCCGAATAGATAATGAATGGACCTATTGTGTGGCATTTGCGTATTTCGTTATGTAATTTTGCTTTGAAACTTTGAAGTAAGAAGTTGCCATTTGGCAAAAACAGTCAAAAACGTAAGAAATGTTCCTACAATTTCCATGTTTTTTAAAAACCAACCCTTCATACATTAACACTGCCCTCCACACAGCAATGTGCTGGACAAAAATATAATTGAAATTGTTAGTTTTTCGATTTCCCTTCAGAAAATTAAATTAATTGGAAAGCAATTTAGAGACTACTTTATGTTCAATAACAACAAATTGAGAGTCTAACTTTTTGCCCTGCAACAAACTGATTTATTTAACATGACGATGTCTTTAAAATGCATTTGGTTTAAAGCACTGCTTTTCCCAGCTTCCACAAATTGTTCCTTTGAGTAAAAAGAGTATCAATATTCTAAATATTTACTCACTGCATTTGTTTTAAGTAGTTTTTCAATTCAAACTTGCTTCCGTAACCGCAAAACTCCACAGGCAAACACCGATGGCCTACCAACTGTCATTTTGACGAGCAAAATGATTGCAAGTTTTTGTGTGTGGGCACTTTGATATCTTGAAATAAGCATTCGACGCATGACGCCACCAGACAACGTTCTCTCAATCTCGTTTTTTGAAAACATTTAAATCTTTAAAAAACTTGCTGAATAATTTTCTCAAAAATGTAATCATAAATAATCCAATAAGGAATAGATTTTTATTTTGATTTAATATCAAAATTTCATCGATGCTACCACCAGCACGCTATCTTTCAAATATGGCTGTCAAACTATCGAATGGCCTGCAATAGATGTCAAGCAATAAGCGCTGACATATATTGCAGCCCCATGATTCAATAATACAAGGTTAGATAATTATTGATAGCCGCGGTTTGACACTCCCTTACAAAAGGTTGCATTTACGAAGGACAGAGAAAGGAGAAGAAAGCAATCCCTTGTTGCGAAAATGGTAGTAGATAAGTACATACGCAAAGTAGGCAATTAGTAGTGAAATTCTTTTCTTAAATTCTAATGTATCTGGCATTTTAAATGAAATATTGAACAATATATTAATATATCTACGTGAATTACGTAATTTATGAGCTATTTAGCTGTATAAAAACTGCAAAAGGACTCAGAATTAAATAAAACTACTATGAGATTTATGTAAACATCCAATTTAAAAAAATATTATGTTTTCATCCGTTAAATGTCCTTAATATGCATATACAAATAAACAAATTGCACAAAAGCTTATAATTCTATTTCACAGGTAAGCTACACTTTTTCCAAGTAAATTTTCAAAGAAGCAACCCCGTGCCACTGCTAAGGGAGCGGTGCGAGAGCGACAACTGTCAGTTTATCGAACCTTATATTATTGAATCATGTTGCAGCTCATGAGAAATAGGCGGTCTCCATTGGAAATATATTTTGTGACATGGTTATCACCCCATCAGTGTTTTTCGTGTGGAGACAGGGCCTAAGGATTAGTACAAATAGAGACACATTGCGGAAAATATCTAAATTGTTGCATTAACAAAAAACAAATGAATAAGACTTTTTATTCAAACCCTGAGCCCTGAAATTCGATCGGAAGCCCCTAAATATCAGAGGTAAAAATCCAATCTGACAACCCTATCACAGAGGTCCTCTCAAAACCATTCACGTTTACGCTTGAAAAGGTGCGATACAACGTATCACATAGAAAAACACGGGTTTTGCCCATCTCTGGCGAGAACGAAAAAAATACGTTTATAAATATGGGCAAACCCTGCCGTACCGGCCACTACGTTTGGAGGTTTCTTTTACTATTCTTTTTTTTGCGTCAAAAAATGATAAGTTAAAAGATTCTTATTATGTAAGGGAAGGTTTAAAGTAGTGCTTACGAAAACAAAACAGTGGAAATTTGAATTTAAAGAAATGTGGGAATATGCGCCCTCAAAACTTGTGTTCGGATGTTAGACCCCTTTCAGACACGTCAAGTCTTCATTTCAAGTCTGCTCGGTTCGTTGGCGAAGGAGGTGGGCAGAGAGGGGAGGAGTACATTCGTCCCACCTCCTTCGCCTATGAACGAGCAGACTTGAAATGAAGACTTGACGTGTCTGAAAGGGGTATTACTCAAAATGGAAGCAGTTTTGAAATGATCATTAAAGTAAAAAAATATCTGCAAATTTTCATGCATGTAGAACAAATCTAAAAGAACACTTTGAAGACAAACACAAACAACCAAAAAGAAGTCAACTAAATATATTATAAAAGCAAAGTAAAGTTTGGATAAACTTTAAAATCATTGCATATGTTCGCTGCGGACGTTTCGTTTCGGACGCTACTATTTTTGTCATTAAGAAAAACTGACATTTTCCAAGCGATATTATGGTATTTTATTTAAGGATACAGGCTTAAAACTAAGGTTAATCAGAGCTTTGCTTCAAGAAGTAAGAGATGCAATCATATTTCTGAAATAAGTGT